TTTTTTCCTTTGGTGGGTGTTTTCTGATTTATTACCTTTGTGGTTTGTAGGGCCAATGTCTCAGATAACAGAAAATCTTGCAGATTTCTGATACAAGGCCTTAGGATTTTAGGTTGTTTTATTTTTAAAAATTATGATTATATGTTAAAATTAAATTTTAATTTATTAATTTGTATGTTTGTGTGTTTTCTTGGGACTGTACAGGGTTAGCAACTGTGTTTGTGTGTGTGTGGGGAGGTTAGAGGGCAAGATACAGGAATCAGTTTTCTTTCCGCCATGTGATCCCATGCATCAAACTCAAGTTTTCAGGCCAGGGGCAAGAAACTTCACCTGCTGGGCCATCTCATAGACTCATTCAAGATGGTTGTGGTCAGGGAGTTTTCTAGAAGTTTTATCATTTTCAGGTTTATGGTCTGTATCCAATTTGAGTTAATTTTGGGCTGTGACATGAAGAAGTTGACCTTAATTTCTCTCATAGAGACATCTGGTCGACCCAAGCCATTGGTGAGCATGTGGACATGGTGTGTGTCTTCACCCACTGACTTCTTTGATTTTTCTTGGCAGCCGTTTGGATTTCAGTGTGGGGGTCTTAACTGTGTGATCTGTTGATGCAGATCCCAGATAGTCTCCGGACCGTTTTGTGGATGTATGTATATGTGTTTGATGCGCACGTGTGTGTTCCCACATGCATGCACTCGGAGGTTGACATCTGGTGTCTTTCTTGATTGCTGTCCTCTTTATTTACTGAGTCAAGGTCTCTCACCAAACCCAGTGCTCCCTGATTCTGCTTGGCTAGCTAGCTAGCTCGTTCCAGGAATCTCTTCTCCACTTCCCAAGCACTGGGGTGATGTGGAGTTTTATGTGGGTCTGGGAGCCCAAACTCTGGTGCCTGTGTTTCTATGGCAAAACTTTATCTACTGAGCCATCTCTTCCAGCCATGGCTTTAATTCTGGTGTAAGTTAAATGTGTTGTTTCATTTCCCACTTATGCCTTGATGGTCCAAGGATGCAGTCCATTTTTCTCTATTATCCATGCAGCCTATAAACTCGCTCAGTGCACTCACTGGTTCTAAGAGTTGTTTTACAATTCCCCAGAGATGCTTCATATAAACAGTAACATCCTCTGCCAGCTCGGACCATTGCACTCCCCCCCCACACACACCCCAGTTAGTGTGACTCCCCCTCTCTCCTTCTCCTGTCATATGCAGAGGCGAGGTGGATCCTGGAGGATACAGGGTATCAGTAGAAGCCTGTACCGTTACCTTGCTCCTGGCTTGTTAATTTTATTTCCATATTTATTTATTTATTTTATTTATATGAGTGTTTTGCCAACATGTATATCTGTGTATCATGTGCATGTCTGGTGCCCTAGGAGGTCAGAAGAAGATGTTGGATCCCCTAGAACTGGAATTACAGATGGTTGTGAGCCATCACATAGGTGCTGGGACCTGAACTCCAGTCTACTGCAAGAGCAACTCATATTCTTTCTTCCACTGAGCGGTCTCTCCAGCCTCAAGTTCCTCGGTTTTTTTTTTGGGGGGGGGGTCAATTCTGTTCTTCTCCACTGAGTCTGATGCTAACTGTAGACTACACAGCGTCCCTAGTTTGTGTGCTTTGTCAATTTTGCCAATAGAATGCTCCGTATCTATCCATGCATGTGATTTTGTGACTGTGCTCTTTGAATTAATTGCTGGAAAAATTAGGTCAGTCTCCTACATTCCTCTAAGCTGAGCCAAAGTGTTCTGAGAACCCTGGGCTTCAGTGTACACACACACACATACACACACACATATTTGTTTTCCTGTTTGATTGGTTTTTGAGACAGGGTGTCAGGTAGCCCACTCTGGCTTCAATTTACTGTGTAGCCAAAGATGGCTTGAGCTCTTGATCCTCTTGCCTTTGCCTCTCAAGTTCTGGAAGTATGAACATATGCCACCCCTCCTGGCTTAGATTTCAAATACACACACACACACACACACACACACACACACACAGAGAGAGAGAGAGAGAGAGAGAGAGAGAGAGAGAGAGAGAGAGAGAGAGAGAGAGAGAAGAGGATGGCTGATCCCCTGAAGCTGGAGTTACAGGGACTTGTAAACTACCCAATGTGGGTGCTGGGAACTGAACCTGGGTCTGCTACAAGAACATTATTTACACTTAATTGATGAGCCATCTCTTCGGCTCTGGCTAAGATTTTATAATCTTTGAATTATCACCAATTTAATGCCCACCCCAGACCGGTCTCTTTTGCACTGGAATTCACTTTATTACTGTAGGCATGAACAGAATGTGCATATGTATTCTCCAGGGAATGCTCTTCCCTTCTGACACTCTCCTGTGTAGTGCTCACTTCTGTAATTTATATGCATTTTAATATATTAACAATATTAATTTTACCATATGCAATGTGTGGACGGTTCAATTTTGCTATTATTATCATTATCGGTTAATATCCATCCATTTGTTCTTTTGAGATAGCCTCTCAAGTAGCCTAGGTTAGCCTCAAACTCACAGCATAGCTCACTGACACCTCATAGCTGGCCTCAGACTCCTGACCCTCCTTCCTCCATTTCTGGAGTGCAGGGACTGTGGGCTTGCACCATCACACCTGGCTTGATAGATTTTTAGCTTGATAGTTTCAGGTTCACTGCAGAGATTTCCCAAATGTCCTTGGTCCCTTAGGGATCAAGCCGCCCCAGCGTCAACATCAGCCATCACACAGTGGATGGACATACATGAATGGATCATTGTCATCTGGAAGCCCACAGTTTGCACAAGGCATTGTCTTGCTGTTGTGTGTTCTCTGGGTTTGGGCGAATGTGTAATAACCTTGTGGTGTCATACAAAGGGTTGTATTGTCTTGTGCTCCACAGTCCGTGTCTCCTCTCCACCAGCCCCTGGGTAACCACTGATATTTTAACTGTCTGCATAGCTCTCCTTTTCCTGAATGTCACCACGTTGACATTAAAACAGGAAACCTGCTCATATATATAACCATTGTTTTTCAAAAACCTCTTACCTCCTCCCACTCCCAACTCCCAGGGACCAGCAGGGGCCTCCTGCCTGCACCTGGCTCAGCATTTTGTTCTGTGGGGTTCTGGGAGGTTGTGGAGGTGTTGGAAGATGTTACTGCAACACAATGGTATAATGTTGCACACACTTAGCAATACGGTGCAGGGTGTGGTAGGAAGCTGCATTTGGCAGACTCTCACCTAGACTGTGGACCAGGGCTTTTACAGTGCGCATCAGCAGTAGGACTGGGCACATCCTGGATCTATGGGAGGACCCTGCTGGCCTGACTTCCTGACAGATTATGAAGGAAAGCCGTATCATAAACAGCCTGGCCTTCTGGGGACTGAAGGGTTTAAACAGCCCTGCTTTCTCCTCAGTGGCTGAGAGAGGAGGGGCTGGACCCAGGCTTCCCAGGGAGCTGATTCCTTGGTGGTTTATACTAGCAGAGAACAGCTACTGACTGTGGAGACAGTACAGGGCCACACACTGCCTCCTGCCTGCCTTTGCTCGGCTCATACCCAGGCTATTGCTTGCAGAACTTACTGCTAGATATCCAGACCAGGATTTAACCAGAGATGCCCAGAACTGTATAATAAAATATTTTGCAAAAGACAATGTAAATGATTCATAGATTAGAAAAACAGTGGAATGATAGGGTGCTGTAGCCATACAGCACATTCAAAGGACAGAGCTCAGGTTCTAATCTTAGTTCCACTACTCACAAGCTGTATGGCCTTGGGCAAATTACCCAGCCCTTCTGGGCTTCAGTTCGTGTGCTGTAAAAACACGCGAGAGCTGGACAGTGATGACGAGCACCTTTAATCCCAGCACTCGGGAGGCGGAGGCAGGCGGATCTCTGTGAGTTCGAGGCCAGCCTGGTCTACAGAGTGAGCTCCAGGACAGCCAGGGCTACACAGAGGAACCCTGTCTCAACCAAAAAAAAAAAAAAAAAAAAAAAAAAAAAAAAAGAAAGCACAAACATGAGGGCAAGGGAGAGGGCTTAGTGGGTGAAATGCTTGCTGCACACTCACAAGGACCTGAGTTTGATCCCCGGCACTTACATTAAAAAAGCCTGGCCTGGTGACCTCAGCATTGCGGGAAAACAGACCAGAGGAACCCTGGGACCTGTGCTGGACGGACAGCCAGTGTGGCCAATCAGTGAGCTTCTAAGGTTGTTGAGAGATCCTGAGAGGTGGAGGAAGATTCCGTGTTAGTGACTCTGGCCTTGACACACACTTTCATACATGTACACGTGCACACACACCCATATCCTCATGTCATTACACAAGGCATGTAGGTAATGTTAGTAGCCCATGCATTTCCTCATATAAACATTGTTTTTCAGAAACAAAGAAGAAATTTAAACCCACGTAGAAGCTCCACGCTAAGACAGTGACGGGGCAGCCACCCTTCACAGGCCCCAAGGGACCGAGCACTTCACAATTGTTTGTTCCGTACCTATCCTTGTTATAAATAAGACATGGAGGCTCCAAAAGGCTTGGTAACTGGCCTCTGTTCACTCGGGAGGTGTGAGCTCTGGTCTTGAGTGCCATGCTAACAACTTCCTACATATACCAAGGTACGGGGGAGTCTGCTCATGAAAAACAAACAAACAAACAATTTTCCATTCAAACCAAAGTATCTCTATGCACAAATATCACTATGCACAAAGTATCACCATACACAAATATCACTATGCACAAAGTATCACCATGCACAAATATCACTATGTACAAAGTATCACCATACACAAACATCACTATGCACAAAGTATCACCATGCACAAAGTATCTCTATGTACAAAGAGTAACAGGATCAGCACACTCATTTGTTCATTCATTAGCATATGGGGCACAGCTTCCAGCAAAGTGTGTTCCATCATGTCCTATGTGTTTAAGCTCGGGGTGTATGTTACATGCCCCTCCTCCATCTTTCCCCTGGGCTGGTGTATCGGAGAGATGAGAATCCTCACACCACCTGCTCTGCCAGCTCCCCCTCTAGCTCGGATGCCAACCTGCGGTTCCCTGACAGCAATGGCCTCCTGCAGACACCTCGATGGGATGAGCCACAGCGGGGATGTGCCCTGGAACAGATTTGTGGTGTGTTCCGTGTGGACCTCGGCCACATGCGCTCCCTGCGACTCTTTTTCAGGTAAGAACCTCTACCTCCTGGAAGCATGTATGCAAATTTGTGCAAGTATGTGTGCCTGCATGTATGTTCATGCGTGCATGCATATGCACACATGTGGGGACACACATAGCCATGTGCATTTCCAGCCTCATGGGCAGCAAAAGGCTGCAACTGGTCTGGTAGATACTAGCGTTGTCTCCCTCCCTGATCGCACTCAAGGCTACTGCCTGAGTCTGTCCCCAACACCTTCAGGAAAGAAAGCCCCCTCCAGGTGCCGCTGCTCTGCTGGGCACTGCAGGCTGCTGTGTGTCATTTGCACGGTTGGTGCTGCACTGGCCCCTGGATGGAGGTGGCCTTTCCTTCATAGACCCCAGTTGCTGCCTTCTGTCTATGGTTTCCCACATCAACCCAAGTCAGCACCCACCAAAAATCCCTTGTAGGAATCCCGAGGGTGCTGAGGTGGTCTGGTGACAGCCTTGAAGGTGATTTCAGGAAGCCCTCTCTTGTGGCCCCTTCTGATGCAGTCATGAGGGTAGAGGTTGAGTAACCCCCTTCAGGGTCCTCTGGCTCCAGGTGCCTTTGCTTCCTAGGCAGGGGTGGTGCTGAGTTTGGTTGACACTGCTCCCCTCACACAGGCAGCCAGACTCCGTCAGGACTCACTTTTTCCTGCCTGAGGTGGCTGACAGTGTGCTCTGATTAAACTCAGAAATCAAAACCCGTGTTAACACGCTCATCCCTCCCCCACCCTACTGCCCTTCAGTGACGAGGCTTGCACGAGTGGCCAGCTGGTGGTGGCCAGCAGAGAGAGCCAATACAAGATTTTCCACTTCCACCACGGCGGCCTGGACAAGCTCTCCGAGGTGTTCCAGCAATGGAAATTCTGCACGGAGACACACCTCAGGGACCAGGTAGCCCGGCTAAGAGTGGGGCGCACATGGTTGCTGGGGATGAGGGGGTGAGGGGTACAAACGCCTCTCTCAGGCCTGGGACCGTCCCAGGGTACCTTGCTCCAGGGACTGTCCTCTGAGGACTGTGGCATTTGGCCAGGTGTGGCTTGCAACAGCGTCTGACAGCGATGTGCTTGGGGGTTGAAATGTGTGCCCAGGCCTTTCTGAAAGTGACTCTGAACACTCAAAGACTCGTGTTTTGATGCGGCTTCCTGCCATATTTTGCTCGATCTGCATACAGACGTAGTAAGCGCCTTTAATCACCTGTTTAAGATACTGTGTGTGCTTATTAGAACTGGGGGCTGACTTTACAGCCCTACCCGCAGAGCCTCCTGCCGGCCCCCCTTATTACGATAGAGGCATGTGCCCCCCTGCATGGAGCAACCTTTGATTTTTGAATTAAATGTCAGCTGCGGCTTCGCCCTGGACTCGTGACCGCGCATGGAGACAATCTGACAGGCTGGCTCCCCTGCTCGCCGAACAGCGGGCCTTTGTATGTGGCCGATCGAATGGAATCTATTGCAGGCTCTCCCTGGCAGAGGGAAGTTGGGCCATAAGGGGTATTAATTCTGGTTTTCTTTGCGGCTGGGGCAGGAAAGGGGGTGGGGGCGGTGGAGGCTGTGAGCTGCAAAAGGAGAGCGATTTTAGGATGAAGGTATTTTCATTTTAATTGTGTCCAATTACACTTGCCATTTAGGAGCCTGCGTGCAGGGACAGTGCCTCCCCTCCTCCCAAAGGAGAGCTTGGTTTTGACACCCTGGGAACACATCTCGGGCTTCAAAAGCCCAAGATCTGAGATCCTGCTCTCCTCCTGGGTTCCTCCCACCCATCCAGCAGGTCACGGATGAGAGGACATGCATGCAGTTCTCCATCCGAAGGCCCAAGCTGCCACCCTCTGAGACCCACCCGGAAGAGAGCCTGTACCGGAGGCTGGATGTGTCTGCCTGGCTCAACCACCTGAATGATCTGGGCCAGGTGGAGGAGGAATACAAGCTACGCCAGGTATGGCAGGGCCTCCAGGGAGCCCTGGTAGCCAAGCTGCAGGGACGGAGGGTGGGTGGCGGGCCACCACCTCCGGAGGGCCAGTCCCTGGTGTGGGGCCCTGTTCACGGCATTGATGAAGCAGTCCAGAGGCTCCTTGAGGAGACAATTCCACAAGTTTGGGGAATCCCTTGTGGGCCCTGCAGACTCTGAGGTATTGAAACCCCCAGGATCAGTCCATGGCATGTGAATGACACATTGATCTCAGAGTGCCACCCCGGGGGGGCTTTGACATTGAAATGAGCCAGTTTGTACCCTGTATGGGAATGCCTCTCCAGCACTTTCCCCTTGTAAACATGTGCAAATTGCCGGGGTCTGAATCGAGGCACGCCGCGCCACCCCCACGACACCCTTCTCTGGGGATCTGGGGTTCTTTGAGCTGCCTTGTTTCTTACTGCCCCCCACCCCACCCCCTCAACCTGTGCTGCTTCCTGCAGGCCATTTTCTTTGGCGGCATTGACGTGTCGATTCGAGGGGAGGTCTGGCCTTTTCTTCTGCACTATTACAGTCACGAGTCCACATCTGAGGAGCGAGAGGCTCTGAGGGAGCAGAAGCGAAAGGAATACGCGGCGATCCAGCAAAAAAGGTGCACGGCACCCCAGGAGCCCCATCAGACCCCAGTGGTGGGAAAGTCAGAGGTGCAATTCATCACTGGCTGTGCATTGCGGGAACCATGCTTTCCTTGGAGTGTGAGTCTCCCAAGAGCCAGCACCAATGGCTGGACAAGGGCAGCTGCTGCTACACCATGCTCCCAGAGCCTGGTCCAGGCCCCTTAGTTCATATGCCAAGGATTTTAGAATATGTGCTCAACAGATTTAACTAGGGGCCAGTGCTCACCAATGGCAGGCTGGGCTGGGAACCTGATGTCAGGGCTGAAGACTGCCTCCTGCATGGCTTTCACGGCCCACAGGCTGCAGTTAGCTCTCCTCTATGGGGCTGGACTTGGGTTAACGTGAGGAAAGCCTTGAATACACCACACACACACACACACACACACACACACACACACACACACACACGCCTCCCTGTTGGTGCTAACAGCCCTAGCAGCAGAGGTTGGAGCTCAGGAGAGCACAGGCTTCTGCTTCCTGGAGTGTGCAGCTACTCCAGGTCCCCATCTGTACTGTCCCCTCCCTGGGTCCCCCAGGGCACCCCCCTTCCACAGCTGACCCGAGACGGGGCTCTGTCTGCCCCACAGGCTCTCCATGACTCCCGAGGAGCAGAGAGCCTTCTGGCGTAGCGTGCAGTTCACTGTGGACAAGGACGTGGTTCGGACAGATAGGAGCAACCAGTTCTTCCGGGGGGAGGACAACCCGAACGTGGAGAGCATGAGGTACCCGGTGACCCTGGCCTCCCTGCGTGAAAGGGTGGCTCCTGTGCAGTACTCGACCCAGAGCAGGGGACCCATAAGCTCCTTTAGCTCCTGACCGCTGTAGCTGCCACTCAGTCACAGCCGAGGGTACCAGCAGAGCCTCTCCATCCCTCTCCTTGCTTGGCCCCTGCTCACTAAGGACACTTCCTCAGGCTGCCACGTGTGTTCTCAGCTCCCAGTGATGGCCTTCCTCTGATAACACCACACTGAGTCGGAGGCTGCCATCTTAGATATTCTGCTGCAGCCTGGCAAATAACTGCACAAAATTAATAGCTCATAAAAACGACCAGCCAGCCCACCCTCTGTCACAGACAGTGAACCATTAAGAAAGTCGGACCCGCATTCCTGATAAGCCCCTGCTCTGGGCTCTGGCAAATACTGTTACTGCTTGCAGAATGAGTCCCACTGTCTTCCACCAGAGCCCTGTTTTAAGGCAGGGTTTCTCCATGCAGCCATGGCTGTTCTGGAACTCTGTCTATATAGACCAGGCTGGCCTCAAAATCATAGAGGTCTGCCTGCTTACTGAGTGCTGGGATTAAAGGTGTGCATACACGTGGCCAGTAACCCACACTCTCGAGATAGGCTGTGACACCTGCCCGCTGTGCCCTGAGACTAAGGTGAAGAAGGCCCCCAGCACCTGCACCACAAGCCTTTGGTGTGGACTGCAAGGGTGAGATGGGCCACGGCATCTCTCCTCCTCATGCCCTACAGGAGGATTCTGCTGAACTATGCCGTGTACAACCCAGCCATCGGCTACTCACAGGGCATGTCCGACCTGGTGGCACCCATCCTGGCTGAGGTCTTGGATGAATCAGACACTTTCTGGTGCTTCGTGGGTTTGATGCAGAACACCATCTTTGTTAGCTCTCCCCGGGACGAGGACATGGAGAGACAGCTGGTGAGACGTGTGTGTGTGTGTGTGCGTGCGTGTGTGTGCACGTGTGCGTGCGTGTGTATGTGTGTGCGTGTGTGTGCGTGTGCATGTGTGTGTGCGTGTGTGTGTGTTATTATGTGCTGTGTAGGCATGCATTTATTTGTGCCTGGTATATGTGGGTATATGTGTTTGCATCTCTGTGCACGTGTGTGTGTGTGTGTGTGTGTGTGTGTATTATTATGTGCTGTGTAGGCATGCATTTATTTGTGCCTTGTATATGTGGGTATATGTGTTTGCATCTCTGTGCACGTGTGTCTGTGTGTGTGTGTGTGCGCGCGCACGCGTGCGTGTGTCTATCTGTGTACTGGAGGGTTCAGAAAGACAGCACACTACCTCCTGTTGCTGCCAGGGACCTTGATGGTGAAATACAGCCATGACATCAGGGGTCAGTAGACGGGGGACAAACCACTGCCTCTGCTGACATGATGCGGGTCTTCTGGGAAGGGTCAGCTAGCCGCCTACAGGAGATATGTGTTTGGGTCTAGGCCAGCCTCTAACCCATTCTTCCTGAAACTCCAGAGGCTGACTATTATAGGCCCTACCCTGCCAGCCTTCTCCCTGCCGGCAGGGCCATCACAACCCAGCCTCCTGGATAGGGCAGGGAAAGGGAGGTCTATGCAACCTGGCTCAGGTGTGTGTGACTAGCAGAGGCCGTTACAGCCAGCCAGGGCAGCTGTATGCAGTGGGAACAGAAGTTTTCCAATATTACCCAGATGTCCAACAGGCAAGTTTCACATCGCCACCCCTCAAAAAGCTGGCCTCTTTGTAGGACTCAGCTGACACTGAGCACACCCCTCCTCCACAGAGATCAGTCCTACAGAAACCAGGCAGCATCCAGAGTTGGGGACCGGATCTTGTCACTGGAAGGACCTGTGTTAGTGTCAGGCTCCTGCGTGGTTCCAGGCCCTGGATGTGGGTGGCCTGCCCTCCGTCCTGCAGATGGCCTGTTCTGGAACATATGCGCAGAGGGCATTGGAGTCTGGGGACAGGAATCACAGGTGTTCTGTCCCATGGTCGTCTCTATTCCATACGGGTCTCAAGTGTTGGAGACTCAGGTAATCGTGCCCAGTAGTCTCTTGCTAGATGAGGTGTGCCTCATGCAGCGATTGCAGAGCTAAGGAAGAGCAGGGCGCATGGCCGTAGATCAACCACTAGGGACAGGAGGACTGAGCGCAGCAAGGGAGGTGTGAGAGGCAGCAGGAGTAGCGGGCACCCGTCACTTGTGCGCACTGGGCATCCATTAGAAAACTGTCAGCCACTCGGTGTCCTTGACCTTCCATGAGCTGCAGGCTGGAGACCCAGGACAGTCAGGAAAGGCTCCTGAACTCCAGAGCCACACAGCCCCAGGCGCTGGGAGCAGCAACGTGGTGCTTCGCAGTGGAGCAGAGTCCCAAGGCCCCACGTGCTCGGGAGCTTCTGACCCTGCTCGGCCCCTGCCTGCCTCACATGCATCTCTGTGATGTCAGGTTTCCACGGTACCCAGGGAGGCAATTACAGGGCCTGACGCCATCACCCTGGCAGCCTGGCGGCACATGCCCAGTGACTCATTAGCCCTTGGAGATTGGTTTTCTAGTGGCGTCAGTGAAGTCAGCAGCCCCCACCTGGTGCTTCCAGAAATAGCCTCTGTCAAATCCCATGCAACCTGGTGACCCTGACACACAGGAATCTGGGGTCTTGAAACTCAGGCACAAACCCTCCCTCCGGCAGCTCTGGGAGTTGCTAGGTGGTGGTAAGATGGAAGGGGCTTTAGCTGGGGTTTCACGAACAACCCTGCTTGCTCTGTCTGGTCAGGAATATATTAGAAACAGCCCCTGGGGGCCGGCTGAGGCTGGGAGATGACTTCACACTGAGTCAGCCTCCTTGACCACCCAGGAGATCATTCTATGCCTAGGGTTACACCGTAGTCTCCTTCTAGAATATCTTCAAATCTAAGATGAACCGGCAGACAGGTGTGAGCAAGATTCTAGTGGTGGGGGCTGGGAGATGACTCAGACAGCAAACTGCCTGTTGTACACGCACGAGGACTGATGCCCAGATCCTCAGCACTCGGGAGAAAATGCTGGGTGTGCTCTGAGGAAGCTCAGACAGGTGGATCCCTGGAGCTTGCTGCCCAACCAGTCCAGCTAATTGGTAAACTTTGGGTTCAGCGAGAGACACTGTCTCAAAAAAGGTAGAGTCAAGCTGGGAAAATGGTCCAGAGGGTTATAGCATGTGCTGCTCCTGTAGGGGGCCCGAGTTGGATTCCCAGAGATAACTATCTCTTCTGGTTTCCTGAAGTCATGTGCACAGATCCACTTCTACATATGTAATTAAAAATAATAAAATAAGGGCTGGAGAGACAACTCAGAGGTTAAGAGCACCAACTGCTCTTACACAGGTCCTGAATTTGAACCCCAGCACCAAATGATTGCTTGCAACCATCTGTGACTCCAGTACCTGGGGATCCAACTCCCTCTTCTGGCCACCATGAACACCAGGCACCGGTGTGGTACAAAGACATACATGCAGGCAGATCACTCATACATAGGAAATAAATAAGTTTAATTTTTAAAATAATAAATCTTTAAAAAAAAAATAAAGTGGACTGTTGGAAGACACCCAATGTCAACTTTTGTCGTGCGCGTGCGCGCGCGCGCACACACAACAAACACGCATGCATGCACGCATTCACATGCACATGCACACACACACATTCATGCACTCACATGCACACACACACACACACACACAGGGTGTCAGTCGTAGACTGACATACTGGTTGGCGGATGTTTTGGCAGACAGACCTCCTGTGTGTGCTTTTGGGGTTGAAGGTGCTCTGAGTACCGGTCTTCCTGGTCCCGGTAGTGAGGCTGCCCTCTCCCTCACCCCAGCTGTACCTGCGGGAGCTGATCCGGCTGACACAGCAGCGTTTCTACCAGCACCTGGTCTCGCTGGGCGAGGACGGACTACAGATGCTGTTCTGTCACCGCTGGCTCCTGCTCTGCTTCAAACGGGAGTTTCCTGAGGCCGAGGCCCTGCGCATCTGGGAGGCCTGCTGGGCCCACTACCAGGTGAGCGGGGCAGGTGCAACCCATGAGTCCAGTGGGGAGGGGAGGGTCCTGGGATCACCCCCAGCCTCCTGTCCTGTAGTGGTGTCTCCTCCCTGTCCCGTCCACCCGCCACCACCACAGCCTCTCACAGCCACTATTTTCCAGGCCTGTGCCGCCCACCGGCCTCAGACCTCCCCTCCCATGTAATTGAAATCAGTGTAAATTGTTGGCTGACATGCTCTTTACCGACTGACTCCCTTCTGTCACAGCCAGCCAGTGGAAGGTTTATCAGCTCCACAGGACAGTCATAGCAGCCCAGGATGTATGTGTCCACATGCTGTGGCCAGTGTTACGCTATCCTGTCCCCGGGAATGCTGGGAGACCCTGAGCTCTTGCCTTCTCACAGATCCACAGAGAGCCTGGACCAGGGATGCAGGCATCGGCTTGTATTGGACATGATCAGTTTTTCCTCCGCCAGCTCTCCTCTGACCACCACATTCCCACCTGAGCTACACCCAGGCCGTCAGTGTAAGAAAGTCAGCAAGTCAGTTCAACTCCATCGGCCTTAAGATAATAATGATGATGATGATGATGATAATAATAATAATAATAATAATACCAAAGGTTAGGTTAGGGAGATTGCTGCGTAGGTGAAGTGCTTGCCTTGCAAGCTCGTGGTTCTACATTGGAGTCCCAGAATCAGTGTTTTTTAAAAAGCCAGGCATGCCAGACGTGGCGATGCACACCTGTAATCCCAGCATTCCCGAGGCAGAGGCAGACAGGTTTTTATGAGTTCTAGGAAAGTCAAAGCTACATAGTGTGAAATGTCTAAAACAACAACAACGAAACAAAACATAAAACAAACAGACAAAAACAAACAAAGAACCCCAGCTGTGGCGGCACATACCTACAACTCCTGTACTGGGGGTCAGAGGCAGGCAAATCCCTAGAGCTTGCTAGCCGGTCAGTTTAGCCTAATGCTGAGCTCCTGATGAGAGACCCTGAGAAACTGTCTTCTAGCGTCATGTGTGTGCTCATATGTATGTTTACACAGGGCTTGCACAGACAGAAAGCAGTACCATCCGTGTGTCCAGGGCACAGCTCTGTCTCTTCTACCTCTGACCCCAGCTGTGAAAATACGCACTGAAGTCACCTTTCCTCTGCCACCGGCTTGCCAGTGCATCCTAGACTTAGAGATTATTTTAGACAGATCTTCTGAGTGGCCGGGGAGGCTGAGTCATGGGGAAATAACCCAGCTGCCCCTCTGAGGCTGTTGGCCGCCGTCTGTGTCAAGGCAAGGTTTGCCTTCAGGTTTTGGGCTTAGTGGTCACATCTGGAAAATCTTCTTTCCCCCATCAGCTGAGAGAGGGAGGAAGGGAAGATGATGAATGAACCAGAGTGAGCTCTAGAGGGAGTCGCTGGCGGCTGAGGCCTCAGCTTCCAAAGCAAAGGGTCCCGCAGTCCTCTGAGCTGTGGTTTGCTGCTATGGCCCTTCCCTGGGAGCTGGGACTTGCCCTGTGCTCTGATTCAGTCTCCATAGAGTGTGCTTCATTTTCCCTTCCTCCCATCCCTTTGGAAGAAGCAAGTGGGCGGGCCAGGGGTGGGGACTTCCTAGAGGGTGGGCGTTCCTGGAACCATCAGGTGTCCAGGCAAGAGAGTACCACAAGGTGGCCCCAGAGGGGGCAGGGAGGGGCTGTGGATGTCTGGAAAGGAGGGTAGGGGCCACATGATGGTAGAGCCCTCCATGGGCCTCCAGGGAATCTTAGTAGGGCTCTCCCCACACTATCTGCCATAGACTGGGGTCACATGCCAGGGGCACTTGGCTGATGCAGGAGGACACACCACCCGGAAGTCAGCTGCCAGAACTTCTTCCTTGTTGGCATAGTCTAATCAGCCTTCAGGAAGCAGCCTGGTCAGTCCTTTGCACACATGCTGGAGATCTCTGTGGATGGGACCCTGCAGTGAGCTCAGACAAGCTAGGAAGGAAGGAGTTCTTTTCCCTCACCCCAGATGCCTCCCAAGACAACAACAGCCAGGGTGTGGCGCAGTTACCATCCATTAGCGTGCCCCAGCAGCCCTGGATGTGGAGAAATGGAGGACGAACCAGAGATGCAGGTCCCCAGGCACACAGGACCTTCGGGCACAGGCTCAGTCCCAGGTAGCCTGAGCCAGACTCAAGGCTGAACTGCGGTTCAGACCTGGAAGAGGCCCTCTGAGCTCTGTCTTTCCACAGACGGACTATTTCCACCTGTTCGTCTGCGTGGCCATCGTGGCCATCTATGGGGATGATGTCGTCGAGCAGCAGCTGGCCACAGACCAGATGCTCCTGCACTTTGGGAACCTGGCCATGCACATGAACGGAGAACTGGTGCTCAGGAAGGTGGGTGCTGCACTGGCCTGGACCGTCGGGCCGCCCTGTACATAAGCAGAGGCCACAGATTGCACCACCCTGCACCCGGAGCCCCGCCCACACCTCACAGCCCCACCCCTACCCACGGAGCCCCACCCACACCACCGAACCTCACCCAGCGCAAGGACTCAGCACAGAACCCCACCTCTGCACGTGGGCACCACCACACACGCAGAACCCTATCCTGCCCCTCCCTTACCTGCTGGGGTTCTCTACCAAGTCCATCCTCATCAGCCCAGTGGTGCTATTGTGTCCCTGTGTTGTCCCTGTGTTCTCGGGGCTGCCACTGGGCACGGCCTCTTTCTTATGCTACAATGTATAAATGCCCAGCCAGCCCCGCCCAGCAGTGCCTCCTCCAGTGCAGAGTTAGGAAAGTGAGGAAGGGAAGGCAGAGCCTAGGGAGGGCTTTGCTTCTCATCCACGGCTAGAAGAAAGGGGACCTTGAATCTCAGCCACCTCCTGCTTCCCACACTCCTTTGGGTTGCAGTCCTCTGGGGTCCATGGGGGAGAGCAGGGGTCCTCAGGCCCATCACTGTGCTGGACTCCCCAGACAGACCTTGCAGGGGTGCCGGGTGACTCTGTGAGGCAGGGCAGAGTACAAGGGCCTTTTATTGTCCAGGAGGCATCGGGACGGGGTTGGAGGGGCCTGCGAAGGACAGGAAGGGCTGTGTGAAGTAGTGCCATTCTGACCCTCATCACCCTCGTGTCTGCCACCCGGGAACTTTGTGTCTTACACTACCCAGGTCTCTATCTCATGGCCCCTTTTCAGCAACCACTATGACCCAGGACGCTGCTGTCCCCACGTAGTAAGCCTCCCGTACGCTTCCACTATCCCCTTGTGTCCCGATGGCCTGGCTGTCCCCTTAGCCTTCCTCTCTCTGCAGGCCAGGAGTCTCCTGTACCAGTTCCGCCTCCTGCCAAGAATCCCCTGCAGCCTGCATGACCTGTGTAAGCTGTGTGGGACAGGAATGTGGGACAGTGGGTACATGCCAGCTGTGGAGTGTGCCGGCCACCACCCGGGCTCAGAGAACTGTCCCTATGGGGGCACAGTGGAGGTGCCATCACCCAAGCCCCCGAGGGAAGGCAAGAAGGGTTCAAAGGCACCGCGGGAGGCCTTCGGTTTCCGGAGATAGAAAAACCTCTGCCCTTGACAAGGAGCAAGGGGACCTCCCTGAGGAGCTGGACAAGTGGGGGTGGGGTGGGGTGGGGATGGACATCGAGGGAACCAAATCCAGAAATACAAGGAAAGGCCTCTGGGCCATGTGACAAAATCAGACACTAGAAGTGACACTGGATATCAGATGTCCTGAGACTTCAGCGTCTGAAAGGCTGGCCCAGGGTGTCTGACTACCCCACTGGAATGCAGGCTGCTGGCTGGCCGGCTGGGGGATTCCAGCAGAGCCCAGAGTCTGTCCATGAGCAAAGCAGGGTCTAAAAAAGGCTTCGTCCTCACACGGTACCAAAGGGTACCAGGAGCAGGACTGTCCTGAGTGAGTCAAGCAATACCTCTGAAACCTCTGGGTCACAGCTGCAAGGCCCGTGTGAAGACACCGGTCCAAACTGTGGGGGGGGGGCGGGGGGAGCGCATACATTCAGGCCTGAGCTTTCCACTGTGTCTATGTGGGTGTTGGGAGGGACGTGCGCACCCTGAGCCGGAGGCCCAGGCTGGTGGACAAGTGTCAGATGTACCTCGCACTGGGGTCCTCCCCCTTAGGAGCTGAGGTCTGTCCTCTCTTCCAAAACCAGCAACCCACTGGGGCCTAAATGGGCTGAGGGCCTCTGATGAGAAAATGCTTAGTCCTGGGGAAGGAGGGTTATATAAATTCCCAGCCAGGAAAGACAATGGCGTCTGACTGAACTAGCTGGGGAGGTGCCTCCGCCTCTGTGCAGGACCTGGGTCCCTGTTACGCAAGGGGCTTCTGTCCCTCGGCATCTCTGTGGCTGAGCAACACTGGAGTGGTCACGCCCGCACTCGGTCCTCCAAAGCTGAGGATGGCGGTTGGATGAAGGTGTGTTCCAGAGAATGCCTAGCCAGTGTCCCAAAAGCCAGTGCAAGCAAGGGTCCTCCGTCTTCCGTCAAGGGCCGAACCCCTGTGGGAACGCAGGTGGCGGGGTGGGCGCAGGCGCCCTGCTATTGATTTTTCTCGCCGAGAGTGGTGCTCTAGGAGGGTGCCACGCTTTAAAGGTGCTGCTTATCAGAGCCACAAAGGAAGCCACACTTCCCAGCTCCCCCTTCTCCAGGAGCCCCTCCCTCTTCTGCAGGCACTTCTGAGGATGTGGGTCCTTCTAAGAAGAGCTTTTGGGAGAGAATGGCCTGATCTTGGGGGAGCTGTCCATTACGAGCAAGACTGACGTTCTGAGAGTAGCCTTTTTAGCTGGCTTGCTTTCTATACTAGTTTCTGACCCTTTCTGGAAGCTGGGCCCACAACCAGGCATACCCGATGTCCAGCACTGCAGTAACAGTGTACAGGACACAGCCTCAGTGGCTAGAGCCATGTGCATCTGGCAGGCACCCGCAGCGTTGGGTCAGCAGTTCAGGCTGGGTGGTTCTGGTCTTGGATAGGATTGCTCGCTGTCTTCTGGGGTCACCGTATCTGAAGTCCCACTGGGTACGTGAGGTGTATGGGTGCATGGAAACACTGGCCTCTGAGTCTTAGGTCACCCCACAATGGTAGAGGCAGAAATGAGCAGTGTTTTTCTAAGTGTTGTCGCATACCATCTACGCTGACCCACTACCTGAGGGGCAAAGCAGGCTGCATGGCTGAAGCCGGCATCCAGTGTTGGGAAAGCGAACCCTCGTCTCTGGGGCGTCTCTCAGCAGTCATGTAGCAGAAGCCCGGTAATTCAGAGGGGGGTCCCATCAACCTGCCACCCTAGGGAATCTAGATACCGATCACTCCTTTCCCAGGGAGGAAGAGCCAGCTCCTACCCTCCCCCTTCCAGGATCATACTCCCATGCTGCACCCTACACATTCACCCTGCTGTGTTGGGTGGAGACAGGGAGAGCAGGTTTAGGGATTCCCTCACCCTGGAGAGTCTCAGGGAGCAAGGATCTCTAACTCCCTCTGCTCCCCAGGATCTGATCTTGAATGGTCAGCGACAGCCTCATGCCAGGTATCTCCCTAGTCCTGTGGGCTACTGGACCCTGGTGTTACCTGCTTAGGCCAGCTGGGGCCTGTCCAGCCAGGCATGGTGTGTGGGCTCTCAGGGCTCTGCTCAACAGGATGGAGAGGCCCCCACACACAGAACAGCAACCTTAATCTGGATGCAATTAGAGGAGACCAGCCAAATACCCTGTGGCAGCTGTTACCCCAGGATTATTCCCAGCCAGCAAAAGGCATTAGGGTGATAATTCAGTCATTAGACTTCTAGCCTTCCCACCGACAGGACATACAAATCACCGGTAATCAGCCTGCACACTGTCCCTTGGCCACCAGGCTTATTTAACCCATTTCTTAAAATGACACTTAATGCTATTGACCGGCACGCCTGTGTGCGCATGCCCTGCCGCTAATGTCTGTGCTGACGACATCACCTCATGCACTCGGGCTCTAGAAAAGAAGGGCACCTTTGGTGTGTGTGTGTGTGTGTGTGTGTGTGTGTGTGTGTGTGTGTGCTGGCCCGGGTGAGGCATGATGCCTACCTTGCAAAGGGCCACTCAATTCGCTCCTGACTCACTCTCCGAGTAGAGGGGACAGTGTTGGGGGAGGGGCGGAAGCCAGAGAAGATGGCAGGGTTGGAGTGGAATGTGTGCTCCCCTGTCAGGGCCAGTGCCCTCACTGGGTACCAGAAAGTTCTGCCTGAAGGGCCAGCCAGGAGGCCTGGCCCACCTCTGCAGACGGGGCTGTGTAGTTCCTAACCAACCAGGGTCAGGGAGGGGAACAGGTTAAATTCAGGAGGGGAAGATTTCGGTCTTGCAGTTTCTGCTGCAAGTGTCAGGAAGCCCTTGCCGGACAAAGGGTCTCCTGGAGCCTGTGCCTTTGATGGCCCAGGGCACAGGGGATGGCAATAAGGTAACAGGGAGAGGACTATAGGCTGGATCAGGGGTCAGCGCCCGCATGGCTCCTCTGCCCTCTTGCCTGCACTCATGTTTTGTTTTGCTTGGTGTTGTTTTGCTGTGCCGAGGAGCAGTATGTGGAAATCGGGGCCCACACTCGTGCTAGGCAAAGAGCTACCCCACTGAGTGACATACCTACCCAGCCCGTCTGCTTCATGTTTGGCAAAATTCAGACGGAGGTCAGCCCCCACAGTGCCAGGAGTTCACCTGCGGCCCCCTCGGTAGGCTCCATTCCTCCATTCAGGCAGGGGTTGTCAGGGACACCCTGCGCTGGCCAGACAGACGGAAGGAGTCTGGCAGAGCTCCCTGGATGGAGGTCACCCTGCCCAGGAGTCTGGAAAACTTCTGCACAGGTGTAGGCTGGGTTAGAGATGGGCCACCGAGGAGGACACAGGGGAGCTGGCTAGCTTGAGGCCAGACCTGCCCTGGAGGCCCGATAGAGCACAGCAGTCGCTGGACATGGGTCTTGTGTTTCTAAAGAGGTTGTGTTGCATTTCGTCCTGGCCTAACCTGGTCTAGAGGGAACCACCCCAAACCTAAGAAGCCAGTTCCCCCCAGGAAGGGAGTGAAGGGTCCCCTAGCCATTTCCTCGCCTTCAAAAGCCTGCTCTGTGTAAAGGCTGCCACGAGGGTGGCTAACCGTGGTCCAGGGACCTCACCTGCTACTCAGGGAAGCATGGCCTTAGCCTTCCGCAGCAGTGACCAAGAGGGGCTATCCACACCCATCAAGTGCTCTCCCTGACTTGGAGTCAGCAAACCCACGCCTCTCCCACTCCACTGTCTGTGTGGCCTCTGCAGAGGGCAAGCCTCTGTGCCTCCTCTCAAATTCACTCTGTGCCACCCATACCTACCCTGAAGAAAAGTGAGCCCCAAAGCCACCCCAGCGGTCTTGGCCTGCGCCTGTCTGTGCGCATGCGCAAGTGCTCTACCGCAGCAGCTGGCCTCGCCCACAGCTGAGATGAACCTTCCCTGAGGACGCTGCACTTCCCTGCGGAACAGCTGCATGCAGATACCTGCCTGCCACCGCCAGGCCTTTAAAATACATTAAATCCAGTTCCAGGTGGGAGGATTAGCATTTCAGGTTTGCAGAGGTCAAGTCACATGACTATCTTCCTTCCACACCTGGAGGATAAGGAAGACAGCTGTGTGTGTGTGTGTGTGTGTGTGTGTGTGTGTGTGTGTGTGTGTGTGTGAAAGTAATGAAATATCCCCATTGCTTATGCCTATGGCAAGTGATTGGTTTCTCCGTTGTGTTCTGTTTTGTTTTTTTAAACAATCCCCTTCCGGTCAAGGTCAGGACTGGTCACCATGACCCTTGTTAATCATGACTCTGATGGATTCCACACAAAATAAATAAAATAGTATTGAGCCACGCACTTGGTCCGACGCCTTCAGAGAAGACTAATAAGAGTAGGCAGGTCAGACTAAGTCGGGCTCCGGACTGGGTGGAGAGGCCCTGTGCAAGGGCAGCCTGCCCGGCTCCTCCGCTGCTCAGAGACCACTGGGGAGGCCCGAGAAGGAGAAGCAGAAGGGATGGCCTACAGGGACATGGCCAGAGGTCATGCTGGGCCTGGCGGCAGGGAGAGTCACTTGGAGAACTCAGGATTGCTTTATGAGGGCTCAAGACCATTCTCAGTCAGCACACGGATCCCAGGCTACCTAGTGCCTGGAAACTTAACTGCTTTGACAGGGCCTTAGATGTCCTGCTCCTATTTCAGGAAAAGCCCGAGTCAGCCTGTGTGGACTTCCTTTGGGAGATGATCAGTATACTGGTAGGCTGGGTGTTAAAGGACATTCAGGCACCATCTCTGGGGTCCTGCTGTTTTACCAGCACTGGGAGCCAGTCATAGAGACCTGAAGCCCAGGGTTGATAAGAAGGTCCTAAGGGTCTGCCTGGGCCCTGTGAAGCTTCTGGAACAAATGGGGCAGGAACTCCAGCCTTCACCTGAAGCACCCATTGGGACTTTGAGCTGCTTCCACATGGCTCGTGAGTACCCTGGTGTCCCTGCAGGGTTAGAGGGACCAGGGCTCGTGAGAGTCCCCTGTCTGCCCGCCTGTCCTTGGCTTGGACATACTCATGCCCAGTGTGCCCCGGTGAGAATTGGAAGGTGCCAGCCCAGAG